CGATTTTGGAAAAGTAGCTACTACTGTAAATTATTCCAGTAGCGCCATTTCTTTCCCAACGCGTAGTTTTCACTTCTATCCTAGGCTATCATTAAATTCTATTTGATGTTCGAGGCGAGAAAACCCTTTTAGAGTAAACAGAAAAAATAGCTTCGAAGTCAACCAACCCATACACGTGGGATTTCAAGGAAGATAAGGAAGAAAAAAAATATGAAAAATATATAAGAATAAGTTATTTTCTCCTCAGGTCCGAAGAATAGATCTTCCATTTCCCAAGATACAATGGGATTTTTTTATTTTTTATTAACACATGAAGAGAAATAACTTAGTCGCAATATTCTTGTAATGTCTATCTGTGTGATTGTCAACTTCAAATTTATTCTTCAAGAGACATTCAGGAAAAAAAGGAACGGAAAACAAACATTAAATAGTTAATATAGAGTGGGAAAAAAACGTTCTAAACCATAATAATAATAAAATAAAACAAATAAAACGCTAAGCAAACAATTGACAAAACTTGGGCGTAAATTTTTAAATTTCGGAGGTCATTTACCTCTGATTGTTTATATATATATACTTTTTTTGAAACTGTCAAAAATTTTCTCACAATTTTGTGAATTTAAAAATTAGATCCTGCTTTCGTGAACGGTGAGTCAGTTCAGATGTTTCGTTAAGGATCCGTTTTTGTGAAAATCCTGTCTAGGGGTGAAAAAAAGGTAGGGTGTTTCGAAGAGTTTAGTTCTAAAATTATGAATTAAAGATATTATTTATTTAGTTTTTTAACGAACAGTTTTATGAAAGGACCGTTTTCGTAATAAAATATTTTGATAATTTAAGTGTAAAAATGTCCGTTTTTACGATTAAAATAGTGTTGTGTTAATGGACCCAAATTTCTCAAATAATGATCCCAAATGCATCACCTAAATAAACACTTAACAGAAAGTCTTAAAGCTCCATGAACCGCTTTCTTAATCAACAAAAAAAACTTTGTATTCTCAAGAATTTTTTTTAAAAAATAGATTGAACTATTTTAAAAAAAAAATTAAGTTCTGAAATTACGGGAGAAATAAAAAAAAACGTTATACAAAAGGTGCTGTTCGATTTTTGGAATTTATATAAAATAATAGATGCGTTTCAAGCGAATTATATGATAGGATAGGAAAAAAGAATCGACAAATAACTTTCTTAACTACCTACTTAATATAAATAGGCTAACTTTATTTTGAGCTTGAAAAGAGATTTCTTTAGCTTGACTCTATTTTTGTTCTAATTAAAATAAAATAAACAGAGGGTATCACAGAATTTAGATTTTTTGTAATAAGTACTGTTCTGGTGAAATTCTGAAAAATCTACTCATTGTTTTGGGAAAATCACATCCTGCTTTTGTGGAAAATAACCAAAACTAGTGGTCTGTTCAGATTCTTTTTTTCTTCTTTTTTTTTGGGGGGGGGCNTTTGAATTTTTTCTTCTTTTTTTTGGGGGGGGGGGGGGGATATTGTAAAAATCTATTCAATTTTCTGTATCTAATATATTTGTAAAATTCTGATTCTTGTCAGAGGGTTCTGTTTTTGATAATATCTAAAAATAAAGGTCCTGTTTTAGTTGGAATTAAAGGGGGAAAAAAATCTTTCTGAGTATTGATTTTAAAATTATGAATTGAAGACATCGGCTACATTTTTAAAATGAAAACTGTTATTTAAGATCCCCGTTGAGGTAAAATATTGAGTATTGGGTTTTTACGATAAAAACATTTTGCGAAAGGTCCGTTTCTACAATTAAATATTATGTGAAAGGTCCGTCTTAACTATAAAAAATATAGTTAAGTGCCCGTTAACGCTCCCGAATGTCTTCTAAAATGACCTCTGAATTTAAAAATATTTATTTAAAGCTCTATATCGTTTTGCAGGCATAGCTTTTGGGCAAAAAAAATGCAAAACAGACAATTATTAGCTTAAAATTATTAAAAGTAAATATATTAGCTAAAAATGTAGCCTTGCTTTAAAAAATGTTTTGATATTGTAGATTCAACTATTGTAAGGATCTATTCTACCTTTCAGAAAATTTTAGAATAAAATAAAAAACGCAAAATGTAAAGATATTTAAAGATCTATGTAATTTCATGAATTAAATTTTTTTGAACCAATATTTTTTAAAAAAAGGTAAAAATAGTTAGTTATTAGAGTTAAGTAAGTTTTAGAGTTAAGTAAAAGTTACAATAAGTTATTAAAAAAAATTTAATGAAAATAAATATATTAACCAAAAAATAGCTTCCCTTTAATAGTTTGAAACTGAAAATATTAATTTAATGAGGAAATACTAAAAAAAAAAAAAATAGAAACCAAAGCATTTTAAATATGAACTCTAATTTTTTCCATCAATAAATAAAATATAAATAAACTAAATAGGATCTATTCTACCTTCCAATAAATCTTTGACTGATTGATAGAATAAAAAGCAATTTCTTAAGGTATTGGTGGCAGGGTTAACATAACATAAATCAGTTGATAAATCACATTTAAAAAAAAATAAAAGAAAGAAAAAAAATCATTATTTAAAAAAAAAATTCTTCATTTAAAACAATTGATTTTTTTAAAAAAAATCATCAAGTCGAAAATATTTTTATAAATATATTTTTTAGGCTGTGATTCTCTTTAAAGTCTGATTCCATTGATAATAAAGGCTTCATCCAAATAAATAATGAAAATAAATTATGTTTCAAAATGACTAATAAATAAATAAAATTAGCGAAAGTGGAAAAAAGTAAAGTTAAACTGATAAATTATAGTTTTTCATTCACTGCATTTAAAATAGTTTGAGGGTATCATCATCATTGTTGGTATGACAAACCATGGTGGGCCTTGGCTCCTTTGGAAAATATTTTCAGTCTAGTTCTTCTGCATATAAAACAAAATGGATATAATTGAAATATGTTTAAAGCTGGTCATAAAATATTTCAATTAGTTTTGGGCCTATTTGAATACTTTAAGTGCTTTTAAAACTTGTGATTTTCAACACTGAAGAAAAACTTATTCAGTCTAGAGAAACTAAATTTTTTTTTTTTTTTTTTCATGTATTCTGATCTAAACTAATTTATAGATTGAATATCTAACTTACAAATTGCCTTCCTGTCCTTAAAGTTTTAGGATGTTTAAGTTGAATAAAAATAAGCATGATTTATTTGTTTAGTGATTAGTTCATAGTAATTAAATAATAATTTTTTTTAAACATCTTAGTTAGAAATTTTAACTATTTTAGCCGAATTGTTGTTTGTAAATAATATTAAGAATGGCTACTAGTTTTTTATCAGATGATTTGGCTAGTAAATAAAAATTTTTTTTAAAAAATCATATTTAAATAAAATATATCTGATTAAAGAAAAAAAAAGAAAAAAAAAGAATTTTGCCAACCCTGATTGGCAGAAACATATGATACTGTATATGAATGCGGAAAACTAAACTAATTGCAAGGATTAATTTAAAGCTTGAATTACTATATTTCCAATACAAATATTTTCTTTTTTCATACTAACTATAATACTATATTAACCATAAAAAATTAAGGAGGTAAATCTATTTTTTAACAAACTTTTTTCAAAGTCCCCTTTTTTAATCGAAAGTTATTATAAATATATTTATTTAGAATCTTGACTACTAAAAACATAACTACAATTACTAATTTATCTTATGTGGTAATTAACCTGTGGTTGTGGTCGAATCAACCTTAAATAGTCATTATGCAACCCCCAAAGTTACAATTACTTGAATTGAAATGTTGTGGGCAATTACTTATGTAATAAGCACACTTTTTCCAAATATGACATTTTTACAACAAACTGTTTCTTGGTATTGTTTCCAGATTGCTACTTTAAAAGTTTCTGAAATTTCTACTAGATAACACGCTAAATTACTTTTTATCTACAAAAATGATGAGCGTTACTATTCTTTTAAATAACTTGCCTGCATAATTTGAAAATATTACTTATCATTAAATTGTTCCTAGCCCCCAGCCCTTACACTAATATCAATGTGGCTGACTAAATTCAAGTATTGTACAATAAACAAATAATATAAAAATAGTAAGAGAAATACGTTTACTTCACATTTATTTAAAGCAATAAACAACTGAATTAAATTTTTAATACTCCATTTTAAAAATTCATAAAAAAATTAAGAATCCATTAAGAATTAATAAATATACCGAAGATTTACATATTAATCTTAAATAGCAATAAGATCTATTCAAATAATAGTTTTGAAATAATATATATTATTATTTAATTTATAAATATATCATATATTAACATAAATTTTGAATTAAGTTATGATCAATAGGTGTTAGCTTAAATTCAATATTATGAATAGAAACATGTTTAATTTTGTTTATTTTTAATCTGAGAATCAAAATATTATTCTATAACAATACATAATTGTATATTGAAATATAAAAACAGTAATAATTTACAAAATAATTACGAGACAATTAAAGGATATATTTATGATATTTATTAAAAAAACTAATTTAGAATAACAAGTTAAAATTTTGTTGTTATTAATAAATAATTAATCAATAAGTTCGCATATTTTTTTAAGAACCAGGATGAAAATGTTGTTATATGTAAGTAGTACGTATAAATTGTTTACAGAAAAAAATGAGAAAGTAAAAATTTACATTAAGAATAAAGATTGATCATAATTTTAAAAATTTGATATGACAGTACATTTGATGTATTCTAAAAAACATATTGTGTGATAATTTATTTTGGTATAAAGATGTAAATAAAAATAAATGTTGCACATAAAAAAAAATATTTCAAACTATCCAATTTTTTTTTGTAGAATTTATCAATAACAGAATTTAGTATTAAAATTTTTAAAAATCGAAAACCGATCAACACACATAAGATCATACCATATTGCTATTAATGCCGGCATCATATAACAGAAAATAGTGGACGCGAGAAAATATATCGTAAGAAAGAAAATAAGAATCGAATCGCTTACCTATGAAAAAACAAAGAAAGGTTTTACGAAATATATCCATTTTTTCAGCTGGATGATTGGCCTTCGAGATGATGACACTATATCTAAATCATTATAATTCTTGAAATTAAGCGCGTCGAATATCCATGGAAGCGTTAAACACAATTTAAAGAAGCGGGCAAAATCATGCGTTGCCTAGCCGGTCGATACACGACAACAAGAAAGATTCAACAACTTGGCGGAGTGCTACACTGATGCCGGGAGAAACCATCAAAGATACCGCGAACCGGATCTAAATTCTAATACTCCGCCACGAAAAAAAGTTCCGTGTTTATTTTTACTATTTTTCAATTTCGAAGGTATTTATATAAAGAAATGTATAAAAAGATGGAATAGTTATACTTTTTCTGTTATTTTTCATAATAATAGTTGAAATAATACTCGGTGTTTGAGAATTCTCCGTATCCTTCCGCGAATTCGAATGTTTCGCTTGAGGACTTCTCGGTTCAATTGTTTATCGCTCATCTGGCATAGTATGTTTCCATTTAGATCATAATGCTGTAATTATGGTAATGAATTTTAGAAAGCAGGTGTTAACTAATGGGGTTAAGGTTTCGAGGAAATGAACTTGAAATCGTAGCTGTCGTGCTTGTGTTGTTAGTAAATAAAATACGATACGACATTTAGGTTCTTTTAAAAATATTAAAATCAATTAATTCAGCACATCTGATTTTGATTTTTTTTTTTCTCTGCATGCATCATTTTTATAATAATAACTGGATTTATGTTTTTTTAACACACAATTTCTATTTCATAGCATTAAAATTTAACTCAACGTTAAATCATTAAAAAATAAGAAGATTATTAATTTATAAAATCACTTACACTATCTGCATTATTTTTCTTTCGGATATTATTTTTATTAATAATAGGTATCACACCTAAATGCAACTAAGTGTATTTTTGGTGATTTTTATCTTATGCAGTTTTTAAATCTCAGTATTCCTTTATGCTTAAGTAAAAGTTTTTTCAAAACGTATTCGTATTTTTATTTATTTAACAAATTTATTTATTTTCGCTATTGTTAAAGAAGGACTTTTTTTCCTCATTGAAAGAAATTTAATGAAAATTTTTAAAGTATAAATAATATTAAATAGTTTGCAAATTAAGTTCTTTATGATCATTTTTATTTAATTTAAAATACAAAATTTTATTACAGCTAATATGAAAAAAAGTGCAAATTGAGCTTATTTTGATTGTATTTTCTTTAAAGATATATATTTCTCTGTTTTTCAATATAGGCCATTTATTTAGAAAATGATATTTTTTCAATCACCTTTATATTTAAAAAAGAAAAAGAAAGAAAGAAAAAAAAAACAATCTAGGTGTTGGGCAGATTTTGCATTTTATAATTCAGTTTCAATTGAACAATTTGGAATGAACGGATAGAAATATTTAACTATCCTAAGCAATATTTCTTCTTTTTTTTTTAAAAAAAAGGATAAAAGAAAAAAAGAAACTTTTTATAACACTATTCAATTCGGATCTTTATATTTCTTATAAAAACTTAGACTTAGAGCTCTTTCAGTGTAATTATCATTCTGTAAATTATCATCAATAATCATCATCATAAGTTATCAGTGTAATTATTATCAATCGTTAATAAATAGCCGCAATTACTCTCCTTTCAAAAAAAAAAAAAAAAATTAAGAATGTTTTTTAATTCAATAAAATTGTTTTGTTAATAAAATTATTTATCTAATTAAATATTAAATCCTATCCCTAAAGAATAACTTTGTCTCTAAAATAAGAAGAAGAAAAAATCCTATTAAAAATAGATGCATGAAGAATACATGCAATTCTCATTATACATGGCCATAAGGAAAAACGTTGAACAACTCATTAAAAAACGCGTAAATAAACAAAACGATTGTTATTGATTTATTGTTATTGATGTTATTTTATTAAACTACATGAAATTTTTTTTTCGTGCCGTATAGTTCCAAGAACTGTACCTTATTTCTTTTGTATGTATTGCGTGTCAAAGTTGATTGTAATACTTTAATGGCATTTCGATTAATTTAGGAACTTACGTTTAATTTATAATTCTTTTTATAACATTTTTTAGCCATAAAAATATTGCAATGTTTTTGAAACCTAAAGAATGAATTCTTTTGTGAAACCAACTAGTGTTTAAGCGAAGGGCACGCCTAAATGTAGGCTTTCTGAAAATTACAGATTTCATATTGATTAAATTAGGAATTACGATTATTGATTTTCCATATACCTTGATTAGCAATAACAAAATTACTCATTATTTGCATATTTGTGTTCACTACCTAAAAGGCACATTAAAAAATATCAAAAAATTTATAACCAACAATTTACTGTTACGATATTTTATAAAGACAAATTTACTTTGTTGAAAGGGGAAAAAAAGAAAATGGCATCCACTCTCATTTCATGGAATTGTTTATTTTCTTATTCTTTTGAAATACGAAACATCAAGAACTATTATTTCGTATAGACATTCAAAAACACTGAATCCATTTCTTACATCGCTTATTCAAACGGCCTTTGCATCTCATAAATCTGTCAGGTGCAATATTTATTTGAGCACTTATTTATTTATGCAATTCGGTTCAAGCGCAGGCACCTTTTGATCGTAAATCGTAAACAAGGCTATTTCATTCCTTTTTTATTTTATCAGCCGAAATCTTCTTTGTAATTCAAGTAAGTAACAATAATGTTTCAGATGAAAGTTGGTTTTATTGATCGTACTTGAATAATGTTTTAAAAACGTGCTATTTTTCCCTCTTTCTTTCTAAAATGTGCTTCTTACATGTTAAAATGCAAAAAATAAAAGACATAAAACTCTTCCTTTATAACTTTTCATCTAAATTTCAAATTTTCGCGAATTGAGATGCGAACTTCAGAATTCGAAGGGCTAACCTTAAATATGCAAATTTAATGAGCAAACGATATATTAAGTCACAGTTTTATCTGATGATGATATGATCTTGGCTTACAGTTTTAGTACATTGAGGTTGTTAAAGTTCTACAACAGTGGTTCCCTATTTTTTTTCGGCTGTGGAACCCTAAATGATCGATCTTCTTTCAGTGGAACCCGGAGAATTAAGGCACAAACTGTTAATTATTTTAAAAATATGTAATGATCTTAATTTCATAAATTATTTTGAAATTATTTAGTGAATGAATGAAGAAAATGGAATTTTTTCAACATCTTGTTTTACTAATATTAGTCTCTAAATTGGATCTTATGCCGGACAGTTTTTATAATTCATTTTACTGTTAGAAAAAAAAACATTGTTTTGAAATTTCTTTCTTCGCAATTATTAGATTTAAATAATTTCGTAAAAATAACGAAAATATAAAATAACAAATAGCTTATTACTTGAATATAAATTTAATTCCAGGTTTCGAATTCCAAACTCATTTAATTGCAGATTCAAAAATTTCCAAATTTCGGAACCCTAGGATTCCGCGGAATACCATTTGGGAACTGCTGTTCTATACTTTCAGTCTAGAATCTATTCATGAAAATTTGGATTTTTCACTAAACATATCTTTATTTTCATGACAAATTTAAATAAAATAATGTAATTAAAAACAAAAAAAGGAAGCGAAATGTTTTGAAAACTGAACTCAGAAAAAAAAAAATGTGATTAAAGGTTACTTTATGGTAGTTTTGAATAAGTAAAAACATGAAGAGCTTAATTTTATTCTTAGTGCTTTTCTGGTGCTATTAGTAGTACTTATAAAATTCTTCAATGCCGCAAGATTTTTCAAAACTGGTACTTTTAGAAGTAAGATTTTATATAATGTAGTAAAGCATCTAGAATGGAAATCATAAATGGTAAGTATAAATAGCGAGCAATGTCCTGCCGGGTTATTGATCTGGTTAATCCAGTCATTATTATTAATATCCGGTGATTATGAACAATAATCACGTCTTTTGGTTAATGCGACAAAAAAAGCCCATTATTCATATTTACCTGGTATATGCTTATTTATTGTTATTCTCCACACCCCCTTTTTGTAAGAAAAAAATAAATTATGGCCATTATCTAATATTTTTAACTTATTTGGAATTAAAAAATTTCGTAGGAATTTTGGAATTAAAATGTCTACTGTTCGAACTTTAGATAATTTAGAAATATCGCAAGAGAGAGTTTGAAAACTAAATGCTTTTACTCAGGGCCCGACTTTGCTAAATTGGAGCCCGGGGCAAAAACTTCTTTGGGGGCCCTCCTCTACTTCACTATTTCAGTTATGAAGAACCAAACTTTATGGAGGTATTTAAATTTTTCACCTCATTATAGATATATAACAAGAAAATTGACAAGAACCTAAAATAGCTATAAATGCCCCCCTCCCTCCAATGGTCAGACGAAATATCGTTCTGTCTATTTTATCCATTTTCTGATCATTCTGTGTCCATCATGCCAAATGCAGTTTTCTGATTATTTACTTTGTCATCTATCTACAAAAAATTCCTATCCTTGCTGACATTAGGGCGGAATTCAGCTAAATTTTTGCAATTACGGTGTTTCAATTAAGCCAAACAGAAACCTGTATTTTCTTTAACATATCGCATTTTTGCAATATGTAAAAATACAGGCTTTTGATTGACCAAATTTCGAAAATTTAGTTATGGATTTACGAACTTTTTTATTTAGCCATGGATTTACGAAATATAGATTGTGTTCATACAATAGATTAATGAAGACGCCAACATAAAACTGACGACTTTACACTGAACTGATATTTCGTTTTAAAAAAAGTTCATTAAAGAAGGAAACTTAAAATAAACTTTCTATTCGATTTGGGGGCCCCCTCTAATGTGGGGGCCCGGGGAAGCTGCCCCGTATGTCCCTGCCTTAGTCAGGCTCTGCTTTGAACGCATATGCAACAAAATGAAGTGTTATTTTAACATTTTGTTGACCGACAGTTTTGCACAAACTACGTCATGCTACAGGCTATTACTTTGTCATTGAATATGGAAGTAAAGTTAAACATTCTAAGCGATGCGCAAGCTTTATATCTCCCTGGGTTTCTTAAATTGAAATCAATAGTGCAAGTGCAATGCCCAATTAACTCCTCATCAGTCAACAACGTTTGGGCATGAAAAGACGAGTTCAAACGTGACCGGTCAACTATAAGTTATTACTAAATTGTAGTGCTCTGCATTTTTTTCTTATAGACCATTAACAGTATCTTTTCCGTATTTTGATTTTTTTAAACAAATATC